GCACTGTAACCTGCTTAGTAGCTTCAGAATTCTATGTGTGCCCACCACATTCTCCAAGAAATACTGAAAACAGGATCCTAAAACTGAGAAGCCGGACTAGAGCTTTTTTAAAAAATAAACAAAAACCACACCATATTCTTTACTCTCAAATCTCTCTTTTCTTGAAGGCCTTCTTGCATTATTGATTTATTATCAACTTTGACACTAGTTTAGATAATCTATTTCTTCCAGTCTAAAATCTATTTTGATAGACTTTTCCAACAAAAACATGGAAAACAATTTCATTTACAAGCATGAATAATCCTTTGCAACAATATCCGCTCTATTGGAGATTTTCTTTGAGAGCTATGGCTTCGAGGGAAGTGTAAGGGGAAATGCAGTGCATCACAAACAAAATGGAGTCTATGCTACCTTTTTCAATCAAGAAATATATTTACTTGTTACTTCAGAATGCAACCCACTCAACATTGTAATCGTTATATTAAACATTGTCATCTGTAATGGGAAATGGGGAAAGTATCAGAAACATGTTGCCCATTCCACTCCAGTATTGGAACTTTCTGTAGAAGCAGAAGAAGTGAGCCATAGATCAGAAAATTCAATGGGGCCCCATTGACTGCATAGTAAAATAACTATAACTTTTCGAAAATGATGGAATTTGCAGGTGTATTAACTGCTAGTGAGTGGGTGACACCTGCAATATTTCAGACAAATAGGTTAAAGAATATTTTGTGTAGTCACCTTTACTTTTCCATTTTAGGGTATACCTATAGCTTCTTTTCTTTGCAAATGAGGGGATGAAGTCTGCCAAAATTCCACACAGATTAGTGCAACAGGGCTTGTGCACAGACTCCTAGAACCCAAGGCACTTTGACCTGCCCCCGAATGTATTTTTTGAGGGACACAGAGCCCCCACTGTTCAGAGGGTGGAGCTGGGCATGGTGCAGCTCTCCCATGTTTTCTGGAGCAATTTGAATAAAAATAGCATACTTCATAGAGGTACCTGAAAATAAATAACCTTCTACATAGGATAGATGCAAGAATTAGGAAGTATGAATGATAAACTGTTTGAGACTTGTGTGTTTTCTGCTCAGTTGGCACCAGCTGAAAAGTTGAGTTTCTACATCCCTTCCAGAAGCACTGAGATTGAAAGTTTTTAAAAAAGAGCCCTGGTAAAGCTATTCATTGGTTGGAAGCTAGAGGTGTCTATCAAGAACTATAGCAATTCTTTTTCCTCCCCACTCCCCGCATCCCCAGTCCTTAAAAATAGAGCTTAGGGGTAATATCCTAGTCTCTGTTTGTCTGGGTTGTCTGAATGCCCAACCTAGCTGAAACATAAGAAACCTAAATGATGCAGGCTAAAACTAGACATGATTATCACAATTAATGTGCTACTTTTTTGTAATGTAAATAGCAGCTGTGGAGGAGTTCAACTCTTTCTTCACACAATCCTGACAGAAATCTCATCGAGACTACTTTTTGGATTTCAAGGGAAAATCAAATTGGAGACTTCACTTGGAAAAAATATATCTTCCAAGAGGTGATTTTTGTCAGGACTTCGGTTGTGTCTGAAAGAGAGTTAAACAAGGCTGATCAGGCTTCCCCGTGACTGCTATTTGCATAGCAAATATGTGCACATCAATTGCATTCACAATCAGTATCACATCTGGTTTGCTCCTGAATCTCTATGTTTTCTCCCTGGGGAATGGTGGATGTCTCTTTAATATTGTGTTATACCACACTCCTCAGGGCAGCCATTTTATGCTATGCCATGGGCCCTTGGCAGCTATTTTGTAACTGGCATCCCCAGTGCCCTCAAAATGTGCCCACTAGTATAAAAAAATTGGTGATCTCTGGTATATAAATGGCATGAGAACATAATCTTTATCTAATCACAGTTAAAAATTACAAATGAACAACAAGTCTGTTCATAATATATAGCTTCTGGAACCAAAATGGCATAGGCAACTTCTCTTGGAAAGATGTTAAAGGAATAACAACCATAAAATGTTTCTAAATCGGATATAAAATAAAATGTATTTCCATTCTAAGTTTCAGATTCTAGAAAACTGCTTTTGATATTTTTATTTGAGACATAAAATTAAATGAGCCCATGCAGATAATTTCAGTATTTAGGAGCAGATGTTCACACCAGTGCTTTGCAAATTAAGGGCATTCCAGTAGGGATTCCTGCTATTTGGTACCCAATGAGTATCTAAAAATAACTTGCAATGCGTTTGAAAATTATTTGCAAGCATTTGTGGAAGATAATTTGTGGTTCTTATATAGCAAATGGTGCCTTTCATCTAACTACATTAGGCATAAAATGCCCCAAGTTGCAAAACGCTAGCTTTGCATTTGTTAATTTAAATGATTAGATCTATATTTTTCCATGTCTAAAATGTCTGCCGGCATCAGCAGTGTTAGTAAGCATGTTGCTGCAACTAGTTGTTTGTGGACTAAAATGCTACACATAGGCTTAAAGGTAAAGGTAAAGGGACCCCTGACCTTAGGTCCAGTCGCGAACGACTCTGGGGTTGCGGCGCTCATCTCACTTTACTGGCCGAGGGAGCCGGCGTACAGCTTCCGGGTCATGTCGCCAGCATGACTAAGCCGCTTCTGGCGAACCAGAGCAGTGCACAGAAACGCCATATACCTTCCTGCTGGAGCGGTACCTATTTATCTACTTGCACTTTGACGTGCTTTCGAACTGCTAGGTTGGCAGGAGCAGGGACCAAACAATGGGAGCTCACCTCATCGCGGGGATTCGAACCGCGACCGTTCAATCGGAACACATTAAATATTTCTATATAATGTAATGTGCAGATGATTTTAAATGTACAAAGTCAAAAAGGGCACACTGATGCTTGGAGTGGGAGTAGTGTGACAGGGGACACACAAAATGAGTCACAGGTACTCCAGAGCTGGGATGCAGTAGGCTGCGCCTTCATTGCTATTGTTCAGACATCTAGCCAATTTGGCAACTCCAAGACTACGACCAAGTGAGGTGAGATGCAACTCGGTGCTTATGCAGATAAGACCAGCCTTGAGAGAGATAACGGCCTCACAATGAACTCTGCTTTGCTACACCACCCTTTAGGGCCTCCTTGTCCAGGGAGGAGTGGTGTTGCTGGTATAAAAACTTAAATGGGTCTTTGCAGTGTACATGGTTCTCCCTCCTTTTGTTTTACCCTCACAACAACTCAGTGAGGTAGGTTAGGTGAAGAAACAGAAGCTGGCCTAAGTTAGGATTGCCATACATCTGGAATTTCCTGGACATATCCTGAATACTGCAGTCGGCAGCAGTATCTGGGTGGAATTGGTAAAATATCTGGGAAAATCCGGGTGTATGGCAGCCCATGGCAGCAGTGCCATTTTTGCCAATTTTCCATAAAAATAGCTCAAAATCGGCTCTCTCTCTTTTGCCAAGAAAGCCCAACAACTTTAGTCAAAACTTTGCCCCCCCCCAAAAAAAACCCGTCCGAATTTTCACTGCTTGAAATATGGCAAACCTACCTAAGGGCACCGAGCAAACTTCATGGCTGAGTGGGTGTGTCAAATCATTTTGGCTCAAAAAAGAAAAAGGAAAAGGAAAAAAATGTTATTGATGCTGGATCAGGCCAATGGTTTATCTAGCCTACCATCCTGTGATCACAGTGGCCAACCAGATGCCTATGGGAAGCCCACGAGCAGGATTTGAGTGGAAGAGCGCCTGTGATTTCCAGAAGTTGCTATTCTGAAGCATTGCTGCCTCCTCCCATCAAACTTGCTTTTTCCACCACTGTTGCACACTGGGTCAATAGCTTTATCAAGCCATGTATTATGATCCCAAAGTCTCAGTCCTGGTCTGTCACCGCCAGTTCAGACTCCATGAGTGTATTTGTTGGGGTATTAATAAATGACCACAACAAATGAATACTGGGGTTTGAACTATTTAAATCTTGAATTTATCCAAGCATGAGTATCTGAACAGAATTGCTATGAATCTTAAATCACTTTTTACTCCCTCCACTTAACATAGTATTAGAGCCCTAAGATCAGCACATGAGAGAACTACAGCAGGGGTCAGCAAACTTTTTCAGCAGGGGGCCAGACCACTGTCCCTGAGACTTTGTGGAGGGCCGGACTATTTTTTTGGGGGGGGGGGAATGAATGAATTCCTATGCCCCACAAATAACCCAGAGATGGATTTTAAATAAAAGCACACGTTCTACTCATGTAAAAACACGCTGATTCCTGGACCATCCGCAGGCCGGATTTAGAAGGCAATTGGGCCAGATCCAGCCCCTGGGCCTTAGTTTGGCTACCCATGACCTACAATAACACACCTTGTTTGCAACTAATGAAACTTGAGTTATTTGTGTAGCTTAGTATTGGCATTGGCAGAGGTGGATTTAGGGCAGCACAACTGGTTCTGCTGCACTGGGCATCTAGACTAGGGGGCACCAGACCTATGACATATTGAATTGAGCAGAAAGGAAGATGAGAGGTGGGGGAGTACCAAATTTTGGCCTGGCATGTGGCGCTGCTGAAATTTGAAAGTCGTCTCTGGCATTGGAGGACTGTAGGTCTATTGTACCTTTAACTGGTATGTGGCAGGTAGATATTAAATAGAGTAAGTCTTTTGGAGTATAGAACTACAATTAGGGGGAAAGCTTCACTGGTTGACATTCCATCTGTTGGACAACTTATTACTGGCTTTATTTTTGGCACTCCACCTCCACCTGCAAAAGAGGGTACAAATCTGCACGTGACATTTGAATATACTTTGTTATGCAAATGTGTGTCTTTGGCAAGTGCAGCCGATTGCCCAATCTACATATGGTATACCAGTGGCCAGAAAAATATTGTTGGCACATCTGTAGTTATATGCAAACAGTTTTGAATGTGGAAAATCAAAATGTAAGAGTAACTAATAAATCAGCCATATTCCGACTCTACTCAGCTTGTTGGGCAAGGGGAGTAGTATATGTTTCTGAAAGCCCATAGCAATCAGTAACTCAAGCCAATGACCTCTCAAACGACTCTTTTTCCTCAAGACTCCTTTTCTCCTTGCCAGAGGAGTTCTTTTCACGGTGGTACTTTGCGGTGATTGCAGCATAAGCACAGCCATACACAGCGGCAGCCAACATCATGAGACATACAATCCCACAGACCACTCCAGTTATTACTACAGTGGCAATTGCATGACGCAAGCTAACGGGCCGTGGCTTTGGTTTCGGTTCACAGTGTGACCGGCTGCTGTCTCCCCCGTGTTCATTGTGATGGGCGAGCTTTGGAGAACTTTTGTGCTCAGAAGTATAGTGAAGAGCATTGGCCTGGTGGACATCGGAAGCTGTAGGAGGGCAGATTCCATACAGTTCATAAGGAATTCTCAGGAGGTCTTTTCCCTTCCGATGATCAGGCGCTGAGCAGATGATACTGTCACTAATTCCTCCTGAAAAGAAGGAGCATTTGTCAAGCTCTTGCTCACTCAGAAGAACCAACCAAACACCCACTAACAAATATAATGAAGAAACTGATTTTTCTCCTGTATAAAAATGACAACCATCTTCTATGCTAATTGGTTTACAGCTAAATTACAACAATGGAAAAACCTCATATTAGTGTGTAGTTTTGTTAGTCATTTGTGAAACTTAAGCTCTCCTTTCATTCATAGATGCTATTGGAAAACAGTCCAACCAAGGAAAACAAATGGTCATAATAAGGTTGCAAATGGGGGGGAATACACCATTAGCTTGAAGCCCAACATAACCGTGATTAAAGCCAACATGGAGGAAGTTTAAAATGGCCACCATATAGTAACAGTGTTTTGGAAACCATGGTTAAATAGATGCTGAGCAGAGACAAAAGCAAATTAGGTCCTATTTTAATGTGAGAATGATCAGATGTTTTCCATTCAGTGTCAGAGAGTTGGCCTGATCTGAGTGATGGCATGCCACAAAACAACAATTGTTGTGAAGGAAGTGAAAGGTCTGGGACCAAGAGGGTCTATGTGCTTTTGGTGGAAATTGAGAGCAGAGACAAAGAGCTCAGGAAGCAAAGAGGCTGAGGGAAGTTTCAGTAGGAAGACAAACCAGGAGATAGGACCAGGACGTAGGGGCCCAGAAGATACAATGGCTAAAGAAGAGAGACTAAACAGAGATGGACTGAGGGTAGGAGATAGTTAATGGGTAGGAAATTCTACACTTTCTTTGACTGCACTTTATATTTAAACAACTGTATGTATAAGATCGCAGAGAAATTAGTTTTGGATTGACTTTACATTGGTTTGTAGGGTTCTGGTTTCTTTTTCCAGGGACAAAAATGTTATCACACATGTCTTCAATCACTTGAGGAGTGAATTTCAGTCTGAGCATACAAAGGGGTGGGTGGGAAGAATCTCCTATTTTTTTCCATTTTATTGTTTCTGTTTATAAGTATACATATAGGTATAAAATGAAGTGAGCAAAAAGTATGGACACAGAAGTTACAGATATAAAAGTTATATAGTAGTAAAATTGATGTAATATGTCTGTTGCGTTTTGCTATCCCAAGAGTTATTGAATGTGAGCCATTTTTCAACAAATCTGCTTTCTGTCTGCCTTCTTTAACTTGTATATAAAAGGCCCTCCTTGCATATTCAAACAATGTTCGCTCCCATTCTCTCAGACTTGGAATTTAGTCAGATCTGCACTATTTTGTATGTAGAATTCATGCTGCCATGACTGTAAGATTTTATGTGATTTTTGTTTTAAAAAATGCTATGATGCCCTTCAGTGTAATATAAATATTCTCAGAACTCACTCCTATGCATGTTTTTTTCAGGACGAAGGCACACTAAGTTCAGTGGAACTCACTCCCAATAAAGTGTGCATAGGATTGCACCCCAAGACTCTTACTAGAGAGTAAACACCATTGAGCTGAATGGCATTTAATTTTGATTGCTTAGGATTGTTCTGTACAACTGCAGCCCTAAACGCATTATGTAGGAGTTGAACTTAGTGGAAATTACTTGTGCATTAAAATGGATACGATTGGGCTGCAGTTTTACTGCATGTTGATGGGATTAGGTAGGAAAGAATAATGGAGACTCAAAATTCAGTCATAATCTTGTAAGAAGATTATTTCGTTGTCCAGCAAATAATTACAATAGGATTGTCCACCACAACTGCTGATGAATAGCTTGGAAAAAACAATAGAAGAATCATATAAGGCTGCAATTCCATGCACAGTAGCCTGGAAATAAGCCCAATTGGACTCACTGTAATGTGCATCTGAGTAGAACATGCACAACAGTGGTGGGGAGGATCTTTTTGTTGGGATACTGCCGGGAACATGGGGGCATCAGGCAGGCCCCCAGCTGGCTCCAGCCACCGGCCGGCAACCCATCTCCCTTGGAACAGCATCAATTAGCGACACAAGCCTCAGATATACTTAGAAACCTGTGCACACTCTATCAGGAGAGTACGTAAATCTTCTCACAGCCGAAGAGGCAGACAGAGAAATGTGTAAGCATAATATACAGCATTTTATTCAGCATAGTTCAGGAACAGAGGAAAACATGTCTGCTTCCCTTCGTCTCTAGCAGTAACACAAAAGCTATAAACAAACAGAAGTTCCCAGCAAGTGCTGGAAGTAAACAGGCATGTGACATACAATAGTCAAGGGAACCTTTTAAGGTGGAACGGAACTATATCCTAACACTTTTTCACTCCATGGGTGAGATCCTTATCAGGTTCTGCCTCATGGGCCAAATTTGACAGGTGGGCAGTGTGGCTGTTTTGTATTCTGACAATGGGTTGTTAGTGTTGCCAGAAAGATGCCATGTGATTAAATTGTATTTCCTGGGACAAAAATATAGCTTCTCCCACAAGCAGAAAGGTTCCTCCTTTGAAACACTGCTTACCACATTTTGTAGTAAGTGAAGGACTACATATTATCATCTAACTCCTCCCCCATCCCCACTGTCCTCCATTGCATCCATCCTCAGCAATTATCTAACTGCACAACTGGACATTTGCACACCAGGCTAAAACTTTTTGTTCTAGTGTACCTTTAGCATAGGTAATATTCATATTGTTATGCTGTTTTACTTGTGTGGGGTTTTTTTTTAAGGTGGACATTTCATTCTTCTTACGTGTGTGTGTGTGTGTGTGTGTGTGTGTGTGTGTGTCCATCCATCCATTTGGGGAATATAAAGGTAGGGCAGATTATTTAGTGGATCTGGGAGAGGATTGGGCATCATTAACACAGGATATATCAGTTTGCTTTATGTAAGTCTTACAAGAAAACTGCTAGTGAAATGAAAAATTGCTGGTGGAATATACAACATGTGCTTTTCCCAGATAGCATTGATAGTAACTTGATTTCTATTCATGTTACAAATGTATGCAGATTACAACAGTGCAAAGATGGGAAAAGCAAAAAAGGTTCTTAATTTGTCTTGGAAAGCTTTTTTCCCTGAGATAAATTTATGAAGTTATGCTACAAACTTAACAGTTAAGTTATATTCATTCATTATGTTCTTTTGCTTACAAGATGGTGTCTGTATGGAGCATGACTCCAGCAATATATCCTAGGATGGAAAGAAATTACTTAGTAATATTTTAACCGTTCAAGGCTCTTGGAAAGTGATGACCACCTTGGGAGTATATTTTATCCAGTACTCAAATTCTGAAATAATATTTTTATTATTTATACCCCACCCATCAGGCTGGGTCCCCCCAGGAAAAGCAGGAAGTGTAAAGAAAACCACAAGCTCCATTCCCCAATTCTCTCTTCTACATTTTAGCTTAATCGTGATCTCATGTAGTCTTCTCAAAGCAGTAGCTAAGGTGTCCATCACATAAGGTAAGAAGACTGGACTCCTCTAGTTTCATTCCTCAGCCTGCTAACTAGGAAGTTTACTTCTGAATAAATATTTTGAGTACAGAATTGCATGATGTATTGTTCCATGATCAATATATCTGCTCTTACTACTAGTTTGAAACTATGCTGAATTTTGGAAATATGACAACAGTGTCTCCACTTGCTTCCTTTATTTGTGTTAGAAGTGGTTGAATTGACTGAGTTGAAATATGTGTATTGAATTACAACTATATGAATTGCTTCACATAAAACATCCTGAAGTGATTCAACAATGAAAACATCAGCAATACACACATTTATAGCATTTCAAGAACAAAAGAGCCTGCTGGATCAGGGCAATGCCCATCTAGTCCAGCATCCTGTTCTCACAGTGGCCAACCAGATGCCTCTGAGAAACCTGCAAGCATAGCATGAGCACAAGAACTGTGGTTTCCAGCAACTGGTATTCAGAAGCATTACTGTCTATGACCAATGGGGCAGAGCATAGCCTTCATGACTAGTAAGCCATTGATAGTCTTATCATCCATGAATTCATTTAATTCAGTACAGATTGGGATAAAAACCAATGAATTGATGTTAGTTGTTGATTAATGTAGGTACAAAGCTCTCTCTCAAGATTCTAAAACTTAGGGTCACCTAAAGACACTGATATGAAATGACAAATAAATAAATAAATTGCTGCCATGATGGCCCCTGGCCCCATGTTTACAAGAAAGGTATAGTTTACCGAAAAGGTCCCAGTACTAGCTGCTGGGGGACAAACAACTGTTCAGAAACATCAGAAAAGCATCTAGCAGGTCACCATTACCAACAAAAGATCAGGGTCAACAGATCTTTCGCCTGATCCAGCAAGGCTCTTACGTTGTGGCTTCAGTATATATAACATAAGTGAATGGTCCAGACTTCCCAACATGCTCTTACAGTGTGCAAGTAGCTGCCTTGTCAACAATTTGTTAAAGCCATGTATGTACTACTAAACGTAATATGAGCCCTCTCAATAAGCAGAAGTCATAGCAACTGCTGTATAGAGTTAAGAATGTTGTAATGTATGATATAGGCAACCCTAACCATCATCACTTATTGCTATATTTAAACCTTGTTACACAGTATCAAGTGTAGGAAGTGTATAGGCTATACAGTAAATTCTACATCAGGAAGCCATCCATACTCAGCGACTCCCCCCACCAAATCCATTTTCCATGTTATTAGATGCTCCCTTGAATTAAAACTTCAATAAATAGTGAAGGTGAGATATGTCTTAATGACATTTGCTGGATATACAGTATATGTGTAACAGAGAAAAATTACTTACCTCTATATAAAAAACTTTCCAGCCACAGTTTAAGGCCAAAGACTTGACAATTGCATTGCCAGAAGTTACCCTTAAACAGAACAACTTTCAGGTTTGGGAGCGATTCCAACAGAAGTCTGTCTACTTTCTGAAGTTTATTATGTTTCATAGACAATAAAGTTATGTTCCCTGTATTTTTTCCCAGAGTTCCGGGCATACTTAATATATTGTTGGAGGATAAATCCAGCTCTTTTAGGCGTGAAAGCGAACTAAAAGTTTTGTTGTCTACATATTCAATGAAGTTCTTCGTTAGGTTTAGTATCTGTAGATGTTGCAGTTCTTTGAATGTGCCAGGCAACAGACCCGTGATAGAGTTATTAGATAAATCCAGGATTTTGAGGGCCAGAGTGTCAACAAAAGCACTTTGACTGATTTTCTGAATGCGATTATTTGACAACAGCAATATTTGAGTTTCAGCAGGTAAGTGTGAAGGAACTTCAACAAGCCCTTGATTCCTGCAGTCCACTGTCTTTAAAAAGCGATTACACAGACATTTTGGAGGACAGCCACTGAGAACATCTGTTAGCAAGATGACACTTGAAATCAAAAGCAATGAACCTATGCAATAAGAAAAGAAGTATCAGTGTTACATTCTGCATCTTGTGATGGCAGTTAGTGTATTGAAGATATGTACAGAGTAAGTTTGCATATTTGAATAGCAAGATGAACTGTAGTTATAGTCATAAAATCCTCATGTCATGCATATCAGCAATTTTCTCAAATATACAGTATCTAAATGAACCAAGTTTCCATGGGTTGTTGCCAATGCTAGTCCTACTCAAAGTAGACCAATTGAAATTAATGACCATGGATAGTTTAGATCCATTAAATTCAAAGGGCTAACTCAAAGCTTTGTTGGGGAGAATCCTAAAACTTTTTCAGAAGTGCAAATGTGCCCTATGAATTTTACACCTAGCATAGTAAATGAATTCCACTGACAGCATGGAGGGCTAGAAAACATTCAACAGACTATTTTCAGTGGAGCGTAATTGTAATTTTATTTTTATCAGTATTAATGGTTTGGTCAAGCCTCATAATAAAACAGCAGGTCCAACTGCTGCTTAAGGAATTTGTCATCCATGTTACTTATTCACTGATGAGCCTCGCATTGGCTGCTCCCTGGGAGACACTAAGACCATGGTTATGAAAAACACTTAAACCAGTGGTTAACTTTAAGACTATGAGTGGCCTCGTTTACTTCAGCAAGTCTTTCTCAGCTTCTTACATTTCGTCATGTGATCTGTAGTCACCCTGATCTACAGCATTCTTAACTGTTTAGAAATTTTCCAGCCTTCTAGAGCTTCCTTGTTAAGTTCTATGAATTCCTTTCCAGTGGCTCACCAGCTTGCACATTGAAATGAATGAGATAGCCAACATGCATTAGAGATCTAGACAATATGCACATTTGAGTGAACTGAGTCCAGTGTGTTGAGCAAGTGTCTGGGATGCTTTTCTGGATCAAACATCAAAAAAATAAAACCAGAGGGTTGTATCCAATGCTAGTCCTGTTCTCAACAGATCCATGCAAGTGAATAGACCCGACAAAGTTTCATTAATTTCAGTGAGTCTGTTACTTTTTTGTACTGTACGCCGTACAATAACTAGTAACTCTTATTTGAACAAATGTTCTTAAACATCTCTATTGCTGTTATTATCTATAGTTCTATTAATTCTATTACCAATATTTCATATTATGGTTCACTTGTTCGTGTCTATAATCCATAAGCATTCTCTAGTATCTTAAATGTCTCCCTTCTTTGAAACAGTGAATGAAGTTCACACAGTTCCTTACAATGGCACAAACAATATAATGAGTACTATTTTTTATAAATAATATTTCTCAGACAGCATTCTTTGTATGCACACAGTAAAAGCAATCATATACCAGGCAATGATAGCTAAGAGCCATATGTCCAGATTGATAAAAGCTTTCCGTCTCCTTTCATGAATGGTCCCTGAGGCAGATCAGTAGTATCTCTTATTTCTAAGCAGGAGTCTTAAGGGCTTGAGTCTTGTGTACATTTATTTTGGGGTAAATCCCAATGAAATCAGAGGGACTTTCCACTTGGCAAACATGCACAAGGTTTAGCTTCAAGTCAAATAGTATTGAAATATTCAGGAAAAGTCGCTGAATGTAGAACTTAAATTTCCTCAAAGATACAGATATTTAAGAGCCTTTGATTTCATAACCTTCATATGAAGCCATTCACTTTCTGAGATTACAGTTTATCTTGTACATAATTTCTCAAACTTCATTGCCAAAAATAGTGTTTGAAGTCCCCCTACAAATATTTGAACTGACCCTACAAATGTCTGATTACGGTTTCTGAATGTTGCATTCATATAAGGAAGATAGGAGATGCATTTTGAATCAGCATGCTTAGCATGCAACAATTTCCTTGAGTCCACAAAAAAATTGTGGTTTATTGATTTGTCTGGATTTTATAAAGCATAGTTTATTTGCAAAGTAATACCCCTTCACAATACGTCTACATAAAAGTATATCTTACCTTTCATGGCTGTTCTCTTGTTGAGCTTGCAGGTCTCAGTTCACGTTTTATATGAAGCAATAACTCTCTGTAGCAAAGTTGCTTCACTGCTGCATATACATTATTGCACTTATTCAGCAAACACAACTGTAGCTGCCATAGGACCTCCAGCTAATCACAGCTTTATAAATGCTGGTTAGTTCCCCCACCCCATTCAATCATGTTTCTTTTCAGATTCATTGACTGCTCGTTTGCTACCCACAGAGATTTCCTATGCCTCTCTTATTAAATCAACAGGCCTTGCAGAGTGTCTGTCAACTTGTGCTAGACAGCTGCAACACAGAAATCATGACCTAATAGCCTAGCCTTTTCAATTATTTAATCTACCTCAAATCCAAGGCACAAAAATAAAGCTGACTTTTTAAATCCCATGTAGTTCTTGATTTCTGTTGGATTGTTAGCCATGCTTTGTCAATCCGTTCAAAATCAGATGACTCTGAACTTGCGTTCCCGCCGTCCTTGGCTGTGATTGGAGGCAATGGGGTGTGTAATCTCAGTACGGGGAGGCCTTCATCTTGATTACATGGTTTTGACCGTGCACTTGTTTACTGTTCTGGGGCTTATACTTTAGATTTCCCTAGGGATTAGCCGTGCTGACAGGATTTTATTGTAAAGGGGGAAAACAAATTTTTGTGTTTCTCTTTTTGAAAAAAAAATGCCCAAGAACTTCAGACATCCAAAATATGAGTCCTCTCTTTTTCCCCAAACAAGAATGAACAGCCTTAACTGATATATGGATTAGCTTTATGCTGCAGTTGTGGGTATAGTGACTTGTGCTACTGCTGCCGAACATGCCTGACATAACTCATCATCGCTTTCACTTATGAGGTTAGGTTGCCATTGAGGGAACAGGAGGAAAACACCCTCCTTCTTCCTCCTAACTCCCTACCAAACCTCTGAATAAGTGCTTGGGTCACATAAAGAAGAGGATCAGCCCCTAATACAAAAATGCTAGAAACAGTTTCTCCACTGGTGAATGGGGTGGTGTTGGGTGCACAGAGAGCTGTCAAGGTGTGGGCTGGGAAAAAATTGTGGCCCAATGGATCCAGTCATTTCTCTTAATTCTTAATATAATACTTCCTTCTACAGTCCCACAACTTCACGTTTCCAGTGAAATCTGGCTGCCATTTTCACAGAAGATTCAGCAGAGTACTAAAATGAAACTGATATTTACATAACGGGTGTGTTTTATAGGAGATTTGCCTGGGCCTGCCAGGTCCATTAGTCTTCCCTAATTCACCAGATGTAAAATTCACAGTCTACCATACTCTACTCCAGGAAAATGAGAAGTGAAAGGGGGAAATCCATTTTTTTAAAAAAATCCTGATTGGCTGGCTATCTGCTTGGCCAATCAGAAGTGGGTAAGGGGGCGGCCCACCAGCGTCTAGCACTCCTTTTTGCATTTCCTTGGAGCAGTCCTGGTGTGTTTCTGGTGGGAGAGGGTGACTGTTGAGGCTCCCATTTTGACCAGTAGAGCCCGCAATCCAGAACCCCTAGGTCAGGTAAGTGCAGCGGTGGGGTGGCAATGGGTAAGGCTTAGCAAGCTGGAGCTGCTTGTTGCTGCCGCCATTGCTGGGCCCAGTGGCAGCCTGGGCCTGACTTTGCAAGGTGCAGGGTGCGATCTACCCCAGTGCCTAGTGGATCAGGGCCTTCAGATGTTGCTGAGTGGAGCAGGGCCCATTGGCAGTGTCGGTGCGACTCAGCAAGGTGCAGGATGAAATCCACCCCAGTGGCTAGCCAAGCAGTTTCGTCTGGTGCTGCTGACTTGCATCTAGTAAATAACTAAGTGTCTACTCAGAAGAAAACCGCACTGAGTTCAGTGGGCCTTACTCCCAGGTAAGGGTGTGTGGGGCTATAGTGTTTTATCTGGGCAACCAGGGCTGCTCCAGATAACAAGATCTTTTTGCACCAGGTCAAGTGAGGAACAATGGCTTTTTAAAATTCTCCCATATATACAGAACTCCCTGTGCAGCTTCTGGGCTGTATCTGTAGGTTTCTCCCTATGTGTCAAATAACTGGGGTCAAATAAGTGTTGTTTACTTTTTATAATACATGGAAGATGGATCTCCCTCGGGAGGTTCTGGACTCTCCTTCCTTGGAGGTTTATAATCAGACGTTGGATGGCTGTCTGTCATGGATGTTTTAGTGGAGTTTCCTACATTGCAGGGGGGGGCGGGTTGTACTAGAAAGATGACTCTTGGGGTCCCTTCTAGCTCCATGATTCTGTTTTTGTGCTTCAACAATATTTCATTCTGTTCCTATCATTTTATGCCATTGTATTTTGTATAAATTATAAAAATTATAAATAAAACATGTTCTATTTACAAACAAAACATTTAAATAGCTTTTCTACTGGTAGGATGGGGGAGCATGGGCATAGTCATGGTTTTTGTTAGGGGGCAGGACTCAAACACACCCTTTGCAGGTCTCCCATTTATTCTGTTGTCTGCGGAATGGTGCAGCAATAAAACTGCTACCACATTTGCAAAGCTAAGCAGGGTCTGGTATGGTTTCGAGTTGGATGGGAGACTATGTGTTGAGATTCCTGCACTGCAAGGGGTTAGACTTAGATGACCCTCAGGGTCGCTTCCAACTCTACAATTCTATGTATCTATAACGGTTCTAGTCTGGATTATCGCAAAACACAGTATAGTTTATATTTTAGTATTTCAGAGCTGATAGAAAGGCTAGTCACCAATACTGCATGCACTTCCATCAGAAAAATTTCCTGGCACCTTTTCTGTTGTCCCTCCTCTTTTCTCTGAGGTGCTGCATCTGGTACCAGATCTGATGACGCTAAGGGAAAGTGGGCCAAGCTGAACATGGGCTGGGACATTGCATTCACTCAATATGATTTCTCATCCAAATGTTTGTTCTGCTATTGTAGCATCTGCTAGAGTTTAGCTCATAATGCTCTTGATGAGTGATATGTTGCGAACACTGAAGGGCAAATGACTCTACTGGAATCCTGTGAATGTAGATTGTGCAGCACTCAAGCTGGGCTTCAAACCCCCTGTTTCCTAAAATGGGTATGCACTTCAAGGTCAATACATCGCTGGCATTGTACTGTGTGGATTCCTACTGTCCTATTGGAACCTTACTTGTCTTCTTCAGATGCAGGTATATAATGGGGAAGTGTTAACTGGGGCATGCCTTATTGTCACAGGGTGTGGTCTGAAGGGACATGGGGCCACCACTTTTGAACTTCAGTAGGCTTGAGTCTAGGCAGTCCTTGGATAGACAGTGACATGTATGTGTCTTGAGCCAGTGTGGTGTAGTGATTAAGAGCAGTGGACTCGTAATCTGGTGAACCGGGTTCACTTCCCCACTCCTCCACTTGCAGCTGGTGGGTGACCTTGGGCCAGTCACACTTCTTTGAAGTCTCTCAGCCTTCCTTTGTTGTGGAGGAAGAAGGGAAAGGATATTGTTAGCCGCTTTGAGACTCCTTGGGGTAATGATAAAGCCGGATATCAAATCCAAACTCCTCCTCTTCTTCTTCTTGACTCCTGTACAAAGTACACAGACAGAGGCTCTTACTTGGAAGTAATCGAGCAAGCAATGGTACATGCTTGACAATGAACAGAATTCTCAGGAGTTATGGTTCAGGAGTTCAAGGGCAGGGCAAAAAGTTCAGAACTGGACACAAGTGATGGGTGTTTCCACACCTCTCCTGTCAAGGTTTTAAAGATGAGTGGCATGCACCCTTGCGGGACTACCTCACCTTGTGGGATTGCACGTGCACAATCCATCAGGGCAGCTCTGCTGCCATCTGTGAAGGCAGTGCCTGGTTCTAGGCCAAAAGGCTACCCTCTCCTGCTCAGGCTCCTGTTCAGTTACTGCTGCTGCCTATTCAGCTCACCTCCTTAGCTGATCAGAGCCCTCCCCAGCCTCCACTGAGGTGTCCCTCTCTGCAGGAGGGGAGAGCTGGTATCTCTGCTTCCCCTTCTAAAGCAATTGAAGTTGGGATAGAAATAGAGGAACCCCTCCTCCTCCAACCCAGGTTCTTCCAGTTCAGCTAAACTCCCCCTCTGTTTCTTTCTGCTTCTCCATCAGGGTCTGCCAACCCAAACTCAATCCCAGCAGTGCTGTGGGGCTCATGACATTAGGCCACCTTAGTTCCATGATCGAAAAAAGTCAGATGTAAACGCAAGACAATGAATAGATGAGTCTATTTGAATATTCTGTGTGGATTAGGATGATGCTTCCACACTCAAGCTGGTATACCACAAATGAATTATCTCAACAGCCAACAAAAACAGAAAAGCTAGTAGAACCAAGTAACTCTAGCCAGTGAACCAAAGGCCAAATGGGGGGGGGGGTTAAGTGTTTTGTACACCCCTGGAAGGCCAATAAAGAAGTGAGATTGCAGATCTCAGGAGGGGGTTTATTCTAAAACCTACAACCTCAATACAAGATGTCCCATACAAGATGACATCTTGTATTGAAGTTGTAGGCGGAATAGATCACTACATAATAGCCATTACCTGCATTTGCTTTGCCCTGTTCTTGACGGAAGTGTGGTTAATGTGATCTGAAGTGTGAGCTGGTGAAGGCGTTGCACTGTCACTCAACAAAACTCTTCAATCCACATTTTCTGCATTTAACCTAGACGTGAGTGTTGGGTCAATATATTTTGCTGCTAGTATCTGTGGCAACCTGAAAGCTCTGATGTGCTGCTTCATTGTATTAATTTCTACAAATAAAATTCCCTCCACTCTTGACATAGCCCATCTCTTCTCATTATGATGACTGTCACCAGGCTCCACCCATGAGTCTTGAACGGGATGTATGATATAGAACAGTAATATAGATATTATTGCTTCCTGCTGTGGCTTTTATGGTTTTTCTCGGCTCAGAATTCTCTATAGACTTAGCAAACTTTTCCTTTGGCTTGCATATCTATTAGATGACAAATTGTTTTTATAACCATTGTCTTGAAGACGAGTCTTCCAAACCAGGTGTTTTTCC